AGTGGATCCGACAAAGCAAAGGGAGACCGTAATGGCCATTTCTGGCTTATTACAATTAATTTTTTAAAAACTTTTTCAAATAGGTCACCCTCTTAAAAGGCAGTTTAATCAGATATTTTGCTGAAGAAAATCTGCGTACTTTGTTTATTCCAATGGGTAAGGCAGGGCAAAAAGGATAAATTTGGAAACTATTTGACTTTCCTGAAAATTAGTAAAAAAATGCTTTACTGAAACTGAAAAAAACTAACTTTTACTTTGGAGCGTCATCGGAAACTCTTATTCAAGGGTTTCCTTACCAATGCTTCAACCTTCCCATGATTTTCTGTTGGTTTTCATCTCCACAGTAACATATGCGTTTCCTTGTTTACGGACCCTATTCGCGGCGTGTTAAAACAAAATATCACTAGTAAGCAAATGCGTTACAGCATTTTTTGGCAAAAAACATCGGAATTTCGCAAAATATCATTTTAAAAGCTGAATTTTTACCGACATACGGCGTCCTCACCAGCTTTTCATTGACTTGAAGTCGGATTTTCCGGTTTCAGGAGGTATTTATTTGAAACTTTTTTTCCTTTTTATATGAATGTCATTTTATGGCACAAGGTAAAAACAATGTGTTTTGTTCTGTGTTTTGGGTATTCGGCCACCTACTAGTTCGTCAAATTCCTGCGCGTTTTTTTCCAATAAGCCAGATCAAAATGCAGTGTTCTTTAGTAAAAGGCTTTGTAAGCCTCAAACCCATTCATAAAGTCACAGTAAAAAGACCAGATGTACGCCACACTACTCACTCATACTTCTATTACGCTAATGCTTGAGTTTGGCCATCTACTGTACACAGCAACTGTCACATCTTGACCTTAAACTCCGAATAGGGCCATGCTACCTTTTCAGTTGGTGGTTTTTCAAGCCACGACTGTTACTGCATCAGTCAGGGTGGTAGATGCGCTTTACTGTTACCGGTGGAGAAACGAAATCTTTTGTCTATCAATGTTTTTCTTTCATCTGTCACTGGCCTGTCCGAATCAACTTGCCTGGGACTGATATTTTTGACACAGCAGCTTATTTGGAGTGCAATCGCAGTCTAGCGAATGTCATTTGCGGAGCTGTATCTTAAAGAGGAGGAGGTGTCATAAAAAGTACTCTGCGGGTGGCAATGCATTTCCATTAAAGTTTATGAGAGACCTAGTTAATCTCTTCGGCCAGCCATCCTGAAAGCCATGCATCAACACCCACGGCGTTCACCACCAACATCAGCATCGTACTCACCGTCTGTCATGCATGCGATACACGTTTTCTCTCTCCCCCCACCGTTATCAAACGCCTGTCTCTATACTTTCTTTACCCATTCAGGACTCGATGCGCGAAGTTGGAGGCTCTGGTTGCAGAGAAGGAAACTCAAATTGCTGAGATACTAAAAGAGGGTGAACGCATGGCACAAGAACAATTGAAGACCAACAACATCATAAAATCTTTACGAGCGAAGGAGAAGGCGAATGAACAAAAAATGCAACGGACGAGGTACTTACTTGCCTATGACATATGTCTTTAAATTCTACAAATGTATGTTCGGATGGAGCACTATGGAGATACACTAAAATATGGCTTCTGCACGAGTCTTATAATGCTCTTTATTAGCTCAGTGGAATTGCAATCACTAGTATTCATCCTTTCAGTCAGCATGTTTACTAGTACTACTATTGCCACCGCAAATACTACTACTATTATTACTACTGCTAGTACCACTATTACTAATATTACTACTGTTAACACCACTACTACTGCCATTATCATTACTACTACAGCTACTACCCCACTTCAAATACCACTGCTACTATTACTATTAACACTA